GGATTTAAATAGCAAGTGGCCACTAACTGAAAATTATTCATTTAAACCCATGAAAATTAATTTAAGCCCGCAAATATATTTAAATCCCTCAGTCTGCTGCATATATGGATTTATGAAGGTTTATGAAGCTTCTATGTAGTTATGATGGTGATGATAATTTAGTAATGTACAAGTAATTTTACTGAAGCAATACATGCCATTTAAAAAATGCTAGCCTAAATTTGACAGTAAATTATTTGAGAACAACACCATATCTACAAGTACTTTAACACACTTACAGCAAATGATGAGCATTTAAATGTCACTGCTTTAAAAGTATACCTGTGCTAGTGCTACCCATTTTTATAAGCATCACTTATTTTGATATTATGTTATGTAATGCAATGACATTAATACTTTTATAAGTGCTGTCCAAATACATTCCGGGGCCAGTGTTTGTCTCTATTATATCAATAGTTGCACTGTGTTCATTATCTCTTTGCGTTCATGTAAGAGAGAGAGAGAAGAGCCAACTAGAAAGCTAGTAAGGAGTCAGGAGGTCAGGACAAGTGTGGGACTTACATTCCCTGCTGAGAGCTGTTAGACTCCAATCTGACTTTTATTTGAATAGGGGAAATAAATGCACAACCAAATAGAGATTTAATGAGTTTTCTGTGCCTGCACATCTAACGAGATGCCCACTATAGTAGTGCAGAAACAAATAAAATTTGCCCTTGCCTGAACAAGTGTGTGCATGCATGAATGTGCATGTGTGTGTTTGAGAGGGTGTGTGTACACAATAGGATGAAATAAAGCAAAAGAATAAATCTCCAGAATTGCTGCAAAAGCCGCCTCAGTGTCTACATAGGCAGAATAGGCATTTTAAGGTGGCATCCTAACAAAACCTAATTTAAAACACTATACAGGCAGCAACTCACCACAAACAGCACTCCGCGTGGGAGACTCAACAACACACAATCAAATCCAATAGAGTTAACATGTTGCTAAGTTAATGGTGCAGCACACTAGTATGAAAATGCAAAACATACAAAAATAATGGGCAAAAATATCCATTTAAATGACACTGACTTATTTTTATCAGTATTTTTTTCTTTAATTTCTCCCACTTTGTCCACCATCTTGGAATTATTTGTTCACCGATTACCTTCTCTACATGCAATTCTGCCTTAATATTAGGTCAAAATGATTATAATATTTAAAGCAGTCTTGGCATCAGTAGCATGTCCAAAATAGCTTAAAATGCTGTCTATGCAGGCAATTCACTAGGTTTTTTTGAATGGAGCTTATGACCGTTTATGTTTGACTGTGGACTGTGCATGCATACACAGGAAGTGAATACTGCTAATACCCCTGGCTGCCTCCCCTTTACACAAACTAACCATCAGTGTGTCCTTGGAAACAGCTGGTTCTCTCATACCTGTGTGTACAGCATCCGCCTCTTTTCATGGCCAAAGCCTGGGTAAACTCCCCCTGAAATTGTCTCCACTGCCTCAGCTTCAGCTGTATCTACATGACCTTGACCCACATGTTTCTTCCTGTGTGCTCGAGTGCTTGCTGTTTCAATTAACTAGACTATAATTCCAAAGGCATATCCTTTTCTTGATCTCCTCCTGTTTATAAAGGCACGTCGTCAAGTAAAGCCAACCAATGTAATCTACTTGATTGTAGTCCAAACCAAACAGTTCTATTACAAACTATTGATTTTACACCGGTTTCCAAGTCAGTCATGGATTCCAACAGCCAAAGCATACATCTTTTGAAATAAAAGCACAACTCAGATCAATAAACCAAGGCTCATTGGAAAAACTTAAATTTTTTTGTAAAACAAACAAACAAAAAACTACCTGTAAATAATGCAATGAGAACTAGTGATAGTAAAACACCAGCAACTTTTACTTCTCAAACAAAGTGAATACAGAGGCTGATTATTGATTAATAAAGACTTGTTTTGTGTGGTTTCGTGCACAATACTATTTTATGACCTCAAATAACTTTTAACATTGCAAGATTTGTAAACTAGGTGGTACAATATGTTTTCAAACACGATAGAGCATTAACCTTTTAGAGCCACTCACCAGACATTTAATTTTCAGAACAGCCACAATACAACGACCAATGTAATAAAACATTGTCAGATTCACTTTTATCTGTTTTGGATTAAACTTAACATGCTTTTAGTGCCAGTGCTGGCTAGTAATTTATTACATGTAATCTGTAATTACGTAATCAGATTCCAAAAATAAATACTTAAGAGTATATTATATTTTAAAATGCTTATAATCAGATTACAGTTACTTTTTATGGATTACATATCATTCACAAAATGACAATTATTCATAATATTATATTATATTCCCAAGTGTTTCTCTCAGCCAACCCCCTTAACATAAAATATTTACTTGAAATATCTCTGAGGAAGTTAATATTTCTAATAATTTAACACATTCACATGTTTACAGTTCTCTGATGTCAGTTAATCTTCACATTGACATGCAGGAAAATAAATTATATATATATATATATATATATATATATGTGTGTGCTTATACTGTTTTAATTTTTACATTTTTATGATTTAATTAATTAGTAGGAGACACGTTGTAACACGTTTGTGTTTTTCTTACCTTAATGTAAGCTCTTTTACTTCAGTTGTGTCCTTCAAAATAGTCAAAATTAGATTTTTGCAATGGCTGATTTAAAAAGTTATATGCAGTATATTATTAAAGTTAAAGCAGCAGAGGTTATTATTTACAAACCGGGCATGCTTTGCCGGTTAATTTGGAAAAGCAGGAGATATTCCACATATTTTTTCAGGATTCTTTGATGAATAGAAAGTTCAAAATAACAGTATTATATTTGAAATATTATCTTTTTTTAATATTATAAATGTCTTTACTGGCACTTTTGATCAATTTAATTAGTCCATGTTGAATAAAAGTGTGTCTGTGTGTGTATATATATATATATATATATATATATATATATATATGTGTGTGTGTGCTTATACTGTTTTAATTTTACATTTTTATGATTTAATTAATTAGTAGTTAATTAGTTTTTGTCAACTCATTATTAACTCTCTGTCAGCCCACTAATGTAATATTTACTGCATTTTACGATGTTGATATACATTTTTTTAACATATTTTCTTTTTCTCTGCTTTTTTACATCAATATAGTACGTTTAACTATTTCCCCGCCAGAGTTTTTTAATATAGTTGCTAGCCACCACCAGCATTTTTGATGTTTTAAGCGTTGTCTCTTAATTGACGAGATATCTCATCAATAGCGAGGAAAGAGTTAATGGTAAGTTTAAAACAAGTTTGATAAAAAAACATAATATAAAAGTAATCTAAAAAATAGTCTGAATACATTACCTACAATTAGTAACCTAGATTACGTTACTAACTACAGTTTTCATCATGTAATCTGTAATCAGTAACAGACTACAATTTGTAAGTAATCTACTCAGCTCTGCACACTCCAGAGTCTAAACATTTCACTTTGAAAATGTCACGAAACAAGCTAGAACCAGCGTAATAGCAATATTTTGCAGAAATCGGTTGCAACCGGCGCATTTTTCCACTGAACCTGTATTGAATAACATGCAAACTCAGTAAACAAACAATAACATTACGATCATACAAAATTACAAATCAGCTACGTTTGGTTTTTAGCTTCAACAAAAGGGCTGATAGCAGACTGTCACGTGTTTACGAACACCGGCAACTGCGACTCCAACATGGCCCCTCTGACCTGTGACAGCTCATGCTGAGTGAGCTGGGATTCCTGTGAAACACCCCACAAATCTTGCCCCTTTATCCAATTAACTGGGCCTCAAAGCCCCACGGCTCATCAGCAAACTCGGTTCTCCCATCCAAACAAAACTCACAGCACGCACAGAAGCCGAGCCGTCAGTCACAGAACTGTAAACAAACCACCGCGCAACAATGAAACAGCAACGATGCTGGAGATACGAGCTGTCGAAGCAGCGTTTGGACTTCCTACACATATAGCGCATGGCTAACACACACACAAGAATATACAGCGCGAATCGTGAGATAAGGGGTGGGGTTGAGTAAGAGGTGAAATACATTATTGCTCAAGGCAATTTTATGGAAGATAAGGGCAGCACTCGGAGAGTGGGCGAATTTGATAGAGAGAGGAAGCAAAGGGGAAAAGGACTGTTATTGTTGAGTAACTTCATGTGCTCCAAGGCAACTCGTGATGTCATAATGGAGGGAGGGAACCTACCATTCTCTTTCAAACGCTCTCGCCTCGTCTCTCCATCTATGAGCCCCCCTCATCCCCCCCAACTATACCCTAGGGTTTGCTATGGGGGGCTGCTATTGGCTGTCGGTTTGATAGTGTAGCTGAGAATAACCACCAATCAGGGGCAGGGTGCCCCCTCCACACGGTTTCCACAGCAACCCCTTAAATGCAACGCAGGGACCATGTGGCAACACCAGTTTGAGTGTAAGCAGGGAAAAGTAGCACAAATGCAACCTTCATTAAACCGCAAATGAGCCCATCTCTCAAGGGTTTTACTTCCACATTTTTAATCTAACATAATCTAAAGGTGACGGTACCTGGTCACATCATATCCACATTCGTTTTACATTTTAATTGCTTGACATCACTAATGTCACTCATAATTGAAGGCAGTGCCATGGGGCATCACTGAGCTACCATCTTGACAATGTGAGGCCAGAGGTTCTCATTACGCAACAGGTCCCTACTTCAGACAGCCCCAGGAGCACAGCCAGCATCATTAAATCAGAAATGCACTGCTTCTAACCACTCATGCCAAACTGCTATTAGGTCAGAGGCAGAGAGCTCTGCTTTAGTTCTTAATGAAGTGCCATTACTGAACGGAATCTATTGGAAATTGTATATCTGACACATATGCAAGGCAGTACGCAAGTTTTTCCCATAATTAAAAGATGGTTTTGAGAGGTCACAGAGTTTAGAATGCATTGCTCATGGGCAAAAGTCTCTTACCTTGGCAGGTGAAGCATTTGATGTGGAAGTGGACATGCTGCACTCGTACCACCTCTCCTTTGCACACCTCCCGGCAGCGAAAGCAGTGGATTGGTCCGGAGCTCCGTTCACTGCTGCATGAGCTTTGCTGATAGGGTACTATTAGGAAAAAGACAAAAAGGCACTAAGTAACGAACGTTACATCATATGTCGGCAGTGTTGGGCTTATTACTCCAAAAATTTAATATTTTACTCATTACTAGTTAGTTCTTTCAAATATTATTACTTTACTTATTACTACCAGCCAACAGTAATTAGTTACACTACTAGTTACCAGGGAAAGTAGTATTATTACTGTAATGCATTATTAGTAACTAGTTACTGCCCAACACTGTTTATTGGCAGGGGTGCACATAAGTGGTCCGCAGGTCCAAGTCTGAGAGTGCAAGCGCAAGGCTGCAGCCAGACCCTTTTGCATTTACTTGCTTGCCGGCAATGGGGGAAAGCTTGCTGATTTTAAGTTTGAAAATGAAAAATGAAAATAATTCAAATTAAAAATAATAATTAAGGTTCAAATTCAAATAATAATTAAGGTTCAAATTCAAATAATAATAATAAAATTATTAGCATTTTATTTTTAAGTTTACTATAAAATAATTGTATTTGTATTTAATACTCCCTTTTTATTTTAAAACAAAATAGTATTATCACACTTTATTATTTAGTTTATTATTTTATTTTTAAAAAATCTAAATAAAGTGCAATAATATTATCACTATTATTAATTTATTTTTGTGTCACACCATGTGTCATGTGAGGACCAAACCAAATCTCCAGGTTCTCATATGAGAACCAGGCTGAAAAACTTATGTGCATTGGAACCTGATATTACATTATATTAATTTTACATTATTACATTACACTGATATTATTGGAACCTGATATTAAATTTTTCTTTATAATTTTTTATGTATGAATTATTATTTATTTATTATTTATTAGTATCGGCATTTACATTAAATTAAGTGAAGTGACATGTGGCCAAGTATGGTGACCCATACTCGGAATTAGTGCTCTGCATTTATCCCATCCTAAGTGCACACACACACAGCAGTGAACACACACACACACACCGTGAAAACACACCCAGCGCAGTGGGCAGCCATTTTTTGCTGCAGCGCCCAGGGAGCAGTTGGGGGTTTTGCTCAAGGGCACCTCAGTCATGGTATTGAAGGTGGGAGAGAGCGCTGTACATTCACTCCCCCCACCTACAATCCCTGCCAGTACGAGACTCGAACCCGCAACCTTGGGTTACGAGTCCGACTCTCTAACCATTAGGCCACGACTTTCCCCTATGAATGTTGTTATTGTTAACTAAAACTAAAACTATTTTTAAAAATAATTTTCGTTAATTGAAATAAAATACAAATATTAGATTTAGAGAAAAAGAAAGACAAATTTAACTTAAAGCAATCAAATTTTACAAAGGTTTCCTTTTTTTATTCTTTCTTTATTAAACATTTTAGATGTATAACTATTTCAGCAGAGCCCGAATTCTGCCCATATACATATATATATATATTTCGTACTGTAATTTCGTACTGTAATATAATGTTGTGATGCCTAAACTGACTGAGTTTTAATTTAGAGAAAAATATTTGTCTTATTTTTAAATTGTCTCTAAAAAAATTTATAATTTCGCTAAAACAAAATAGACATCTTTTAATATCAGCCATAGCACAAAAATAATTATACTCTTATCTGTATCGGCCAGAATTTCAATATTGGTCATGTGTCTAGAGTACAGTGTGTTAAGGCAAAAGTAATGTATTTTGCACTGTGAAACCAAAAATGCCCTCTAAGCTGTATTTGTTGTACCTGTACTACAGCTTGAGTTCTTCGTTTGTCATTATAATGGACCTGAGGGTTACCTAAATAATTTCCTTCGCTCTCTCTTTCTGTGTATTGATGGCTGGAGGTTTTGTGCTGATTGCCCTCCTATTAAAGATGCATAACAGGCGTTCAAACACTCAGCCAGTGAATAAATCAATTACTGTGCAATCACTGTAGCAAGTGTTGCTCTCGCTTTAGTCTAAACGGATTTAACTGGGGGAAAATGTTGAAAACAGCAAGGGCACATGCCCTACCCTGATCTCCAATGTTTCAGCTACAATCCTGGCAGCAGGGCAGGTAGAGCATACTGGGAACTAGGTTTTAATGATGGTTTTGTGTGCATGTAGGAAAAGACAAACGTAATCAGCAAGCACAATGTGTCATGTCAGGAAGTGATACTGATCAGTGCAGGAAATGCCCTTATTTTTCAACAATAAATCATTATTATGAAGTGTGCTCACCTGAACCTGAATCTTTAGGGATGCACCAATATAAAAATTCTGCCCAACACATATAATCCAATTAATATTTTCATGTTATAGCAGATAACCAATAAGTTGCAGATGAAATGTGATACTATTTGGTCAAAATACATTTACAATAAAACACTAACTACTAAAATCAATCATTTTAAATGCAAGTGAAATCACAACAGGGAACAGAATACGAGAAATTCATTTTGAGATTTGCTAAGCGTTTAAATAATAAATAATATTGTAAAAATATTATTGAAATATCTATGCAATAAACACTTACATATCGATATGCCAGTCAAGTATCCGAGGGCTGACTTTTTTACCGCAACAAACAATGTCTTGTACTAAAAGCTACTGAATTTCAATATTATTTGATCAAAATAAATGAAAAACAAAACAATAATAACTAAAATATATAATTTTAGAGGTTGCAAGTGAAAATAGGCATCAAAACATAATGAACAGAATACAAAAAAGGTTATATTCATTTTGAGATTTGCTACAAAAATAATAAAAATAATAATATTGAGAGCTGAAAATTTTTCAATTCAACAAACAATGACTTGTACTAGAAGATCACTTCGCATATTGTCATTCTATTGGAATAGAGTTTCATTGACTTTTCTTCATCCACAGCTGAAGAACAATGATCCATTAATGCTGTTATGCCTCCTCCAGTGGCTCAATCTCACACTGGTAATATTGTAAGCACTTATTCCTTTGGCAGAGCATCACGCTGCCTGGCCGACTTCCAGAGCTGTTTTCTGATTTTTGTGTGTGGCCCTCAGTTCTGCGAGATGCTCTGAGCCCAGTCTTTTGTCAGTGTAGAGTACAGTACAGTCGTGATGCTGTTAAAAACAGATAACAGTCAAGAGAAAATACGAGATGTTTTGTAGTATCACAAAACCAGGAGCATTTATGGTAATGTGTGAGAGCTATGCTTTTCTTTGTACCTCAAAGCAGCCCATAAGCTTTCACATACAATAATGCTCAAATAAACAGAGGTGACAGCTCAAAAGAGAATGCCATTAAAAGACAATATGTCTTTCAGGCATCACTCATCTGTCATTTATGGGTGTCGCTGTGCTAAAGGAGGGTGGGTGTAAACAGGCTGTGTAATCCCTGCTATATCACATGCACAGAGATCATGGGAGGACATGCACACAAGATTAAAGTTTTTAATGGCACCTACATTAGATACCTAATGATACCACTCATGTTTTAGTGGAAAGTATTAATATAATGGAAGCTAAAATCCAGATTCAAATTAATTATAAAAATAAATGTCTATTATTAATAAAGACTTGACAGTCTTCACAGATCAAATAAAAACAACAAGATCCCCATACCCCAAAATAGGTCACTCTGAGTCTGAATTTTCTTACATTTTCAATAGTTTAAACATGTGTTGCCACAAATTCCTCTCGGTTTGCACGCACACACACACCTCAGTTATTAAAAAAAATGAATAAAATGCTTGATTTACAAAACAAAAAATGAGATTCAGAGAGGCCTAGTTCTTCTGGGAAACTTCAGAGCACTAATGTTAAGCAATATATAGCAAAGGACCTGTAACATCCGGCCCATGGTGTAAGGTGATAACCACAGGACCTAAGGGGCCGCTGCTATTTCTGCCCTCAGTGGAGGAGCCTCCTGCGGATTATAGTCACACAGGATTGTGGGAGAGTGGAGGTGACAAGGCTGCTCTCAATTCCTCCATAGCCAGGCAGAAGAGAGGTGTAAACAAGAGCTTGTGGCCAGAGTCCACTTATCCTTCACAGTAATGAGCACTGGGTGAAGACCTCTGACTAAGTAACACTCCCGCTTCCATAACAGAGTCAGAACACTTACTTGCAACAAGAATAATACTGACCAGTACTAGAAAAATATATTTTTGGTGGTTGTTAACAGCGTGGTACTTGAATGTTTAAATAATGTGTCATTACTTGCTCAGTACAATCAGATTTAGCATATCTAAAACCATATAAAATAGGATCAACTGTATTTACTTTAAACTTGTGGTTGAAATATCTTATCAGTATATTTTATCAATGTTAAAAACATGCTGTTTAATATTTTGGTGGAAACCATGATTTTTTTCTTTTCATTGTTATTTGTTGAACAGAAAGTTCAAAGGACTAGTTTTTGTATAAATGTAAAAGTCTTTCCTGTCACTTTTGATTTAATGCTGAATAAAATAATTCGATTATTTAAAAAAATATATAAACTTTTGAATGGTAATAAATGAATATGTTAACCCATTAATTGTTTACTTTTAATTAGGGATGCACCGAAATAAAAATTCTGGGCCGAACCCGAATATTCTAGAATGCACTTTGCTGAAAACTAAACCGAAAATGCTTTTAATAATTATGTATTATTTTAATGATTTTGAATAATATTTTTATATAAACAAACTTTTAATGATTTAATGATACTGAATTAAAAAAACACAAGCCAGTAAAATAGTCACACTTTTATGGAAAGTAAAACAATAAAATTGGAGAGAAAAAATATGAATATTAATATCAATCTATTATTTTGTTCAGTTCGATGCAACAATCAAATTTAACTGATTTTTATTTAATTTTATTTTTTTTGCTTTTCCGGTGAGCATGTTTTTTTTCCGGCTGTTTTTCTGTTTCGGACAAAAAACGAAAATGCTGTTTTCGGCCGATAATTTTCGGCAGCCAAAATTTCAGTGCATTCCTACTTTTAATCTTTATTTTCGCATTAAAATTATTTGTATTTTTGTTTGATAGTGATCATTTCTCTTTTATATTTTTAAAA